CTTTGGCCAGTGGTTCATTTTCCACCAGGAAAGTGGGTCCATCAGAGGTGCCCCCCAATTCCTGAATGAAACTTCATTCCTGAATAAAAGGCTGGGATGATCCGTGAAGTTTGCGTCCACCCTGGTCCTTTGTGCTAACACTCACCATGCCCAGGCACTGTGCTAAATGTCCTGAGTACTCGAAATAATTGAGTAGGTGGATAATGTTATTATCCTCATTTTAGAGCCAAGCAGATGAGACTTGGAAAGGTGAAATAACTTGTTTGAGAAAACCTCAGCAGTCTGACAAATCTGTAACATTCCCTGGATAAATCTAGAGTTTGCTTGCTGTGTGTGCATCAAAGATAGAAGGCCATGGTAGGGGTGGAGTGGGGACAGTCCATGCTCAAGAAGGGGATAAAAAGAGATGAGTAAAGGTATGAAGACAAACCCTGGAGTAGCAGAAAGGGCCATATCGGCAGCTGCACTTTGTCTAGTCTTTTTCCATTTTCAAGCTTTTCCTTGATAAATGTATTGGCATATTGGACCATGAAGAGTTACCGAATTACTTCATGTACTCTTTCTTTGGATAGCTGTGTAGAACTAGCACAGCTTATGGGAAGTTCAAGGATATGACTTGCTTCCTATTATAGTGAGGTTTTTCTCTATATATTGGTCCTTCCTAAAAACAAGACTTCCACAGCCACATCAATGTTTTTAGCAGCACAATTCACAATAGCTAAACTGTGGAACCAATCTAGATGCCCTTCAGTAGATGGATGGTTGAATACACAATGGAATATTACTCAGCATTAAGAGAGAACAAAATCATGGCATTTGCAGGTAAGTGGGTGGAGTTGGAGAATATAATGCTAAGTGAAGTAAGCCAATCCCCCAAAACCAAAGGCCCAATGTTTTCTTTGATAAGTGGATTCTTATCCATAATGGGGGGTGGGGGGCATGGGAGGAATGGAGGAACTTTGGATAGCATAAAGGGGAGGTAGGGAAAGGCAGGGACCATGGGGGAAGAAAAAATGGTGGAATGATATGGACATCATCACCCTAGATACATGTATGATGACATGAATGGTATGATCTACTTTGTGTACAACCTGAAAATTAAAAGCTGTGCTCCATTTGTGTACTCTGAATCAAAATGCATTTTGCTGTCATATATAACTAATTATAACAAATAAATAAATTAATTTTAAAAATAAGATCAGTTCACTTCTAAACCAGTATACATAAATAACCCCCTTTCTGGTGCTGGGAATTGAACCTAGGCCTTGTGCATGCTAAGCAAGTTCTCTGCCACTGACCTAACCCCCCCAGTGCTGGCCATTTTTTTTTTTTCTGTTTTAAGAATGGCTATTCTGCTGCACTGCTGTGAGCAGGGAAAACATACTCCAGTCTGATCTCTTTCTCTTCCCTAATCATTATAATTTGCCTCCAGAGTCAATATGGAGTCTCATGGGAGCAGGGTCAAGGACAAGTATTTTGGTAAAGGCATCTATAGTATTTAATCTCTTTCCATACAAATGAGGCAGATTCCTATTTCCTACACTTGCTAGGAGATATCTGTTTGGAGCAAAAGACCAAGAGGCTACCCAATTTTCTGTTTCAATTTTTGTATTGGCACAATTAAAAGGGGGGAAAAAAAGAACACAATTTTTAATCCACTGATGAATGTTCTCCATTCCCTTGTGAGATCTACTCCCCACCTGTACCCTGTGCTTCCTAGACTGCATTACCCGGTTCCCCTTAGGCTCTGGATTATAGTTAGGTTTGGCTAATGGGAGAAAGGGGCAGGGGAGCAGGGAATGAGGAGAGATCCTCCAGGAATTCCCCTGTTCCCTCCTGTGGTTTGGAGGTGGTTGTGCTTTCCAAGTGAAGGCCCAGCTCCTGTTGGGTGGCATCTCCTTCAGCTCTCACTGACTTCCAGGGTCAGACCCTCCCTGTCGCTTCAGGGCTTGGAATGATATCAGCTTCCAAAGGATCTTCCACCATCCTTTGTTGATTCCCTTAGTCTTGCTCCCCTCTGTAAATATTCTTTTCATAAACATTTCTCAGCTACCTGGAGTGTGTCATCTCTTTCTATGAGAATCTTCATTGGTATATCTGACTTTTTGTAGATCTTCAAAAATGAAACATATGAATTGCAGAATTAAACCATTAAAATCAACCTTTACATATATATATATATAAAATAGGAAATAAGAATATGTAATTCAAGAAAATCTATATACAAACTAGAAATCACAAAAGCTACCAAAAAAAAAAAAAAAAAGTAACTATGAAAACAGTAATGCCCAATACCTGGCCTTGGCCCATGTATAAATTAGACTGTAGCTTTTGTGAATTACTAAAATCATACTTCCTTCTATAGTATTTCAGGTGATTAAAATATTTCATAAATTTTTAAAAAATCAACTATAATGCTATAATCAGCTATAATGCTGTTAGGTGATTGGAGGTATGTTGTAAGTGAACTCAGAGAGGAAATAACAGAGGGAGATGAAGGCAGAGATAGTTATCATATACCCAGTTGCATCCCTGAGAGAGCAGGCTTGTAAACCTGCATGCTGGAAATACTCACTTGAGAAAGGAATGCTTCTCTCTCCCAAGTTCAGAAAAACCACTAGATTGGGCTTAAGCTAAGTGAAATAAACAAACCTTGGCCTAAGTGAAAGCTAATTGTTTTCCTCTGCCTTTCAAAGGCATCAAATTCTAAACTGGAATGTGTTGTTTTTTTTAGTTTGAATCACAGAAAACTTGACATTAGTATTAGGATCCTGGAGATGGAATTGCAAAAAATTCAAATGAATTATGTGAGAATGCAGTGATGTGGGTAGGATTTGCCTTCCCTACTCAGGGCCTGAGGCCTCTGCCAGCATTGTGGTTTAGGGATAGCATTGTTTCTGGAGCTTTCCTGTGGCTCTAGGTTGTCCTGGGTCCAAAGCATTTTGACATTCAGTTCTGGAGGCTTTCTACAACTTATAAGCAAACTCGGTTCACTGTAAGATCTCTGGATCTTACAAGATCAAAATTTAGCACCAGAATTTCCAAATTCTTTCCTGGAAAAGATGAACAGGACCATACTGAACCATCTAGGACTAACTCAGCTCAGAAGAGACAGCTTGGATCCACCCCATTCCAGGGTACCTAAAATTAGGCCTGGCATTCATTCTCAGGTAAACATTCACTACAGTTTTTTTTTTTCTTTCCCTTTTCATTCCATTGACTGTTGGAGGCAAAGAATAAAATATAGACCTTTTTAACAAATCACAATTCAATCCTCTAATATGTCAGGGTAAGTATTCTCTTATTTAAGTTGAAAATGCACCAATAACTTGAATAGGTATGACTGATGTGATAGAATTTTTAGAAAGGAAAATTTTGCATATCTCAGAATGTTTTCTAAGTTACTTTAAAAAGCCATTAAGAGGCAATTGATTATTATGTAGGATTTTTACTTTCAGTTTCTTCTCTGTATATGTCTATGCAAATGAAATAACAGGGTCTAGTGATTCATTGCTGTGCAAGGAACAGGAGTTCGTGAAGAAACAATGTTCTAGAAATCTACCAGTTGTTAAATAAATGTTTAAATGTTTATATTTTGGGCTTCCAGAGTGAATCATTTTGTTCCTACCAAGAATAATATGTATAATTAAAAAAAATTCTCATTATTTTGGAATGTTGGGGGCAGTGAGGTGGGTTGAGGGATGTGGTTAACAGTTTCATTCTGAAACTTTAAAATGTCATCTTGATAAAAGGCATCAATCTTTCAGATTCAAAGTAACTTCTGAATTTTATGTTGAGAAATTGCCCCTGGACCTAATTTGTCCCATTTAGAACAATTTCTTAATGTTAGAATGTGTGGTGGACAAGGGAGATTTATTAACCTGTCCAGATTTTAGTTAAGTTAAATTTTGCTTAGTTTGTTTACATTTATGCAAACCACTTTTTTTTTTTTAATAAGAACTGATTGGACCTAGATTGTGTCAAAATACATGATGCCTAGGTTGGTTTGGAGTTACTTTAAGTGATCATCTAGGTTGATAGCTACTTATGGGAAATGGTTTTGAGTAAATAACTCAAGATACTTTGGAAAAAACTGACATCCTCCTTTTTATTTTTTCATTATTGTAGCCACCTATAATAATATGCTGCAAAATTTAAGGTGCTTCTGCTATTTTCTTTTATTTTTAAAAAATTATTTATATATTTTTTTAGTTGTTGATGGACCTTTATTATATTCATTTATTTATATGCAGTGCAGAGAATCAAACCCACCCTCACACATGTTAGGCAAGCGTTTACCACTGAGCCACAACCCCAGCCCATGCTTCTGCTATTTTAAAGATCATGCTGGAAGACTGAAAACTGAAGGAGAAACTTTGAATATCAAGTACTCTACTCTAAATCTTGAACTCTAATTTACAATGAATCCCACTTTTAAAATGTGCTGAATTAAATCTAATTTTTTTTGCACTTTCATCTCACTTAAGATACTGTGTCTGCATTAATTGTAAAATGTTATTTGGGAAGTTCATCAGATACTATTTCATTTTCAAATTTTTGTTTTATAGTTTATTTTGGTAATATTTCAGATGAGTTTACACAGTGACTATGATTAAACTGTGCATATTCACTGAAATATTTTGATGTCTAGTTTACACCATGCCAAACATTTAGAAATATATTAAGATATGACTCACTGTTACATGATTTCTTATGTAGTGTGAGTCAAACTATGTTCCCTAAATAAAAATACAGATGAATTTTGCTAAAACAGCCATATTATAAAGTATGTTAGTCATGGCCTTAATCTCAACATCAAAAGAATTCCAGTATATCTGAAAAATGTACTAAATTTTTCAATTTTTAATCCTATTATTTGGCTTTAACTATAGCCATATATGTTCTCCTTTGGAAACATAATAAAGAACATTAGTCAGAATTAATATCTTAAACTTTTTATTCTTTCTTGTTGAAAAGAAATTCTTGAAAGTCTTCTTAATTAACATTAGCACAATTGATATTGTGAAATAAATACTCTGACAATTGAACACATAGCTCCTAAAACACAGGTGAATCAAACAGACGTTAATTAAGTCCACTCCTTTAAGAGTAATATTGTAGTGACCAGAGAATACTCTCCCACCCACACAGAGAATGACAAAAGGTGCCAATGGCTTTCAACTTCATTGTCCAAATACCAGATCTGTTAAGCAATCACAAGATAGCAGCTTGTCAGTTTTGGTTGCTTCCACATATTGACTTCCTGGAGAATACACTCGAAGTTTCATTTAGTCTGACCGAATGCTGTGTGTTTATAACAGTCGTTGCATAGGAGATTGAAATAGACTGTGACTATGTAGGGTTTTAAACAAATTAAAAAACCACATGGTTTGTCTTTCAACAGGAAAGCTTAAATCAAAAGGCAACTGGATCTTAAGAACAGCTGGATGTCCCTCCAAAGGCCATGCAACATGCTCACGGAGGGTAGGTTTTATGGAACCTTCTGACACCTTCTGTGAAGTGCCTTGTCAGCACTCTGTAGCTCCAACTGCTGCTTAAATGTTTGTTTATTCTGTTATTAGGGAAGTTTCATTTTGTTTATACACTGACTTTTTACATTTCCCCAAGGAACCATTTCAAAAGGATCTTCCAGATGCTAAATAATGAAGCACATCTTCATGACTGTCCACAGAGTTCAGCCTGTTTACTGGCATTTGACTGTGTAGAACAGGAAGTTTGTGTTGCATCTTGTGTTCTTAATGGAATCCGACAACAGAGGACTGAACGCATTAGTCTCAGAACAGGAGGCCTAAGGATGGCGAAGACCCAAGGGTCAATTATTGGATTGATTGCTAAAAATCTGAGAGCTTGCAGGTCCCACTTTTTCTTTCTGGAAGAGGTTTCATTCATATATGCAAAAATCTGTAAGAAGCAAAGCAGGGAAGTGATGTTAGTTTTACACTATAGCTGTGAATGGGCTGAGTCTGTGCTATTCCTTGAGATGCAACTGTGTCTTGTGCATGGTAGTGTTGGTGAAGGAGACAGGTGGCAAAATCTTACCCTTCTTTCATATGTATATCGTAACATAATGAATATACTTTCTCCTCTCTACAACTCAATGATAGCATATTTTCTGCAGATTATAATTAACACTGAGATCAGAGGTGACCTTCTGGGTTTGCTACTGGAAATGGAGGGAAATGAATTAACATTTCTGGGCACTTAGAACAGAATATTTTAATATCAATAATAATGATAATATTAGTAGTTACCATTTACATATATGCATCATGAATTGTACTGAGTATTAAACCTGCTTTATTCCTTTATTCTTTTTTTTAAGAGAGAGAGAGAGAGAGAATTTTTTTTTTAATATTTATTTTTTAGTTGTTGGCGGACACAACATCTTTGTTTGTATGTGGTGCTGAGGATCGAATCCGGGCAGCACGCATGCCAGGCGAGCGCACTACCGCTTGAGCCACATCCCCAGCCCAATTCCTTTATTCTTTACAAAAGCTCTGAAGCTTAAATATTATCTCCTCTTAATAGATGAGGAAACAAACTTCAGAAATGATAATAGTATCATGTTACACTTAATTTCAAATGCTCCATCTGATTTAATGATCACAATTCAGGGAGAGAGCAAGCGGCAGAACACCATCAGCTTGAGTCCGGTTCTGGCCACTGACAGCCTGGGTTAGCATCACAGATAGTTTTGGCACCACAGGAAGGAAAACTTGCCTTTGTGCCTCAGTTTCTACATCTCAAAAACAGATGATAATGATAATAACACCTATTTTGCAGGGTTGCTGGGAGAATGATAAGAAGCAGTATGTGTTAGCTACTACAGCACTGCCCACATAGTAAGTGGGCATTTTACCAACAAGGACACTGAGGTCAGAAAAGTTGAGTGACTTGCCCAAGTACTCAAGGTTGCTTAGTGGCATAGTAAGGGCACAAATTTCAGCTCTCTTGCTGCCAGTGCAGTGCTTGCTGTGCTACAGCCAGGCCTGCATTAGAACAAATGCCTTCAGAACAATGTTCTAAACCCTGGGGTGGGGGAAACATGTCACAGGGATCAGAGTTTTCAAATTGGTATCCCTGCTCTCGTCTTATGGAGCAGCACAATTTGTTGGTCAGATCAAAAGGAATGGAACTATATGTGATTGATAGAGACCAAGCACCTCCATCCAGCTGGCAGAAGGGGAAAAAAAAAGGTGACTCATACCTAGTCATTTGACATTAATTCTTTATAATGCATCAGGGATTCTTTGACCAATGCTAATCTGTGACATAGGGAGACATACCCTTCTCTCCCCAACACTCCTCCAAAAGAAGGAATAGTTCATTTCCTTTTTCCTGGTACTTAACTCTACAGGCATCTGGGAACTGGACAAAGCAAATTGCAAGCAGAGAAGAGTAGTCATCTTCGGGTTGCTTACGTAAGGACAATAGCAGGAAGGTTTGGCAGCCAGAGGTGTTTATGCCAGAGAATCTTGGCATAGGGAATGGAGAAAGAGTTGGCAGATGAGTAAGGAAAAAGAAGAATTGATGGTGGGTTTCCCAGATCACAGAGAAAAGAGGAAAGTAAGATAGGAATATGCAATGAAGAACACGTTTTCTGGTCAGTGAAACTACTTTGGATGCAAAATAAACAGTATGGTGTATTAAAGAGGTGAATTTGGAGGTTAGAAATTCAGAATAATGTGTACATAAGTCTGGCACGTGGATGTGCATAAATAACTGGACATTCGGTTGTAAGAAAAATCTGTAGCTGAGTTTGTGATCTAGTTTAGCCAGAGAACATGGGTTGGCTAGCCACAACAAGCAGTGTAGACAGGGCTCAGCATTCTGGTGTCTCAGCTTCACCCATGAAGATGAGTCAGGTTTTCAGTGGAGAGTAACCTACACCACAGTTCCTGATCCTTTGAGAGCATGACGAAGTAATGAGAAGTGAAAAAGCGTTTTAGAGGATGAAGCAATTCTGTACTGTTTCCTTTCCTTTTCATCCTCTATGCCTGGTAATTTTCAGAATTGCTTAAAATATGCATTTCAGGAGGGGGCTGATATTTGGTAGAAGACAATTCCTTCTTTAACACTTGGGAATAAAACATGCTTCAGGGATCCTTGATGTCTTGATGTACACTTTTGTCTTCTGCCTCCCCATTTCCCCCTACTTTGGTTCTTATCTTTTTTTTTTTTTTTTTTTTTTTTGCCTAGGGTTTACTACACTGATCTTGTGCATCTTGGACCTTTTACTTTTTTGTAAAACATACACAACACAAAATGTGCCACTGTATCTATTTTCAGGTGTACAATTCAGTGGCCTTAAGTACATTCACATTGTTGTGCAACTGTTATCAATCATATTTTAAATTTTCTGTATGTTATGTTTTGATAGCTGAAAAATCTCTCTGTCTGGGGTGAGGCTATCTGTCCTTGGGCTGGCTATTTCTTAGAGACAGCAAAAAGCTCAGCAGAAAGCATGTCTTTGATATAACAGTAGTAACCAATCCAGAAACACATCTCCTTTATCAGCCCCATAAGCCCAGAAGGCAATATTCCTCCATGTTAATCATCCCAGGGTCAGGGACCCTGCAGCCAGGGATTTCCCCATATAGTTTACTGCCTGCTGAAAGTATTTCAGCTAGCAGTTTCTAAACTCTCCACCTTGTCATGACCTTCCTGTGGAAACTCCAATAAAGGCAGTGCCTCTCCCCCCTCTCCTGCCCGGCCTCCTGACGGATGCTGGTGCTTTTCTACATGGCCCTGCATGGAATCCCATGCCTTCTTTTACTGAGCCTCTCCTGTGTCTCTCTTCTTCTCTCTCTTTCTCCCTCTCTCCCTTTCTCTCTCCATTTCTTTCTTTGGAGCTAACCCAGGGACACTTAACCACTGAGTTACATCCCCAGCCCTTTTTAGTTTTTGAGACAAGGTCTCGCTAAGTTAATGAGAGTATTGTAGCCACTACACACTGAGGCTGACCTCAAACTTACAACCCTTCTGTCTGAGCCTCCTGAATTGCTAGGATTATAGGTGTGTACCACCACAACTAGCTCTGTGTCTCTCTTGTAAACACACTTGACTGACCCTAACTTAAAAGAACATTGAACAGCAACCATTGCCACTATCTGTCTCTGAAACTCTGAGCCCCTTAAATAATAGCTGCACATCTCCCTCTCCCTCTAGCTGACCCTGGGTTTTCAACAAAACTCTGACTCATGGGACATAAGGGAATTAAAGAATAATATGTCAGTGATACTCTGGAATTCAGATGCAGAGGCTGGGGGAATTATTGTTATTATTGTTATTTTGCATATACTGCCAAAATATTTTCAGTGAGAAAAAAAAAGTGCTGATCTCAATAAGTCAAAAGAGTTTTAATTCCTTAAGGTAGACCCTCACTATAGGGCTTTGCAAAGAATATAGAGCTTGTGACACAAGTGGCACAGATGAGAATTAGTGCTATTTTAGTGTTGTCTTGAAGCAGCCTCCCATGGAAAACTTCAGCTTGGCACTGACCAGGGGCTGTTTAAACTACTTTCCTATTATTAATGTAGCTACAAAGTAAGTTCAGAATTTCAGAACAAATGATGATTTTATTTAGCTGATCACTGAAATCATCTGGGGAGCTTTCCAACACCTTATTCTCTCCCTCAGAGACTTGGATTTACTTAGGCTACACTAAGACATGGGTCATGGCTGGTTTTTTTTGTTTGTTTGTTTTTTGTTTTGGTACTGGGGATTGACCCTAAGGGTGCTTTACTGCTGAGCTATGCCCCTGGACTTTTTAAAAAATTTTGAGCAGGGGCTCACTAAGTTGCTGAGTTTGGTCTTGAACTTGCAATCCTCCTGGCTCAGCCTCTCCAGTTGCTGGGATTACAGGCATGCGCCCAGTGATCAAGGAATTTTTAAAAGCCATTCTATTCTACCCCACCCGGCACACCAGGTGATTCTAATGTGCAAACAAGTATGAGAACTACAGCTTTAGAACCTTACCTAAAATCTGAAATGTTTTCAAATTATTCATTAATCACACTTAAAAACAAAAGACCTTGTACAAGGCTCTGGGTTCAAGTTCCAGCACTGCAAAACCAATCAAAAAAAAAAAAAAAAAAAAAGAACAGAAAAACCCAAACCAAAAAAACCCATCCTCTTGGGCCTGGTCAAGCCAACAAATGACCAAGGCTCCAGAATTCAGTTCCCAATCACTAATACACAATCTGATTTTGCTTTGGATATTGAATCATCTGGACATAACAGCTAACATTTATTAAACATCTGCTGTGGGCTTGGCATGGGGCTAAGCAATTTGTAAATCTTACTCTGTATAACATTTTCACAAACTTACAAAGTATTATTATTCCTTATTTATTTATTTAGTAGTGCTGGAGATTGAGCCCAGGGCCTTGTGCATGCTAAGCGAGCACTCTATAACAGAGCTACGTCCTCAGCCCCCACTTTTAATCTTATTTTGAGACAGAGTCTCCCTAAACTGCTGAGACTGGTCTGGAACTTGTGATCCTCCTGCCTCAGTTTCCTGAATAGCTGGGATTCTAGGTGTGCACCACCATGCCCAGTTTTATTATTCTCATTTTAGAAAGGAGGAAATCAAGGTTCAGAAGATCCATCACTTTGCCTAAGATCACATTCCAGGAAGCAGTGAGACACTTGTAGCCACTACACACTGTGCTGCCATCTATGTAAAAAGCCTTTTCTGTGAAGTTTCACTTGAAATTCACAAATGACTGACAGAATTATAAGTCTCTGGATAACACTACTCCTGTTTATAGACTGAAAAGCTGCCTCTTTCTCTGTAGCTGTTCGGTATTCTCTGGGCATTACTCATCCCATGGCTAATTTACAGACATCCCTTGTTATGTTTATGTGGCTTCTGAAAGAAATTAGGGTGTCCTGGCAAT